TAAGCGTCATGGAGGTTGGAGAAGTAGTTCCGTCGCAGGGGGATATACAGATACATCAAAAGAAAACAAGAAAATTGTTGCGCAGCACATTTTGGGATCAAGAATCGCTGAGGAAGCATGCCAGCCCGAGTGCGAGCCAAACCGATCAACAGCCCAATCTATTTCAGTTAGACCTTCACTATTATCATCGTCGTCATCATCAGCAGCAGGAATTGTTTTGAAGAAGTGTAAAAAATGTGTTATTAATATTTATAATAATTAGTAGTAGGAATTTGTATCAAAAATTAATATATTTAGATGTTCGTAGTTGTTTTTAAACGGTTTTATTTAGCTCGACCCGTACGGTATTTATTTATTTGTTTGTTTATTTGGGTCAAAATTAGAAATTGAAATTTAAGTACCTTCCTGTTGTCAGATTGATCTGAAATTTGGTACACACCTTTAGTTCCGATGACAATACAATATAGTAATATCAATAACATTGTAAATCTAAGATGGCCGCCGGTACAAAATGGCGGATTTCATATTTTTCCACAACCCCCTCAATATGGGTATCAAATGAAAGGGCTACACTAGTAGAATACTGTCATTATGACAAAATTTAAAATCCAAGATGGACGTCGTTACAAAATGGCGTATTATGCGAGGGCATGAGTAGTCGTGTCCAAAACAGTTGTGTCCGAGATTGTGTGACGTTAGAAGGACAGATAAAAAAAATAGGTGATTAGATGTACCTACGTAGTTAACGGTAGCTTTACCACCCAAGTTAAGGTAATAGGTTAAAACGTGCTGAAGACTGTATGGCATTAGGGTGGCTAAAAATGTAATGTCGCAAACGTTTTCCCCTCAAGATTGGGCGCCTGTTGTTGTATATTATAGCCTTGTCCCTCTACTGGACCTCTGGGGGGGGGGTCGACCGTTAAAATGTCCATTACTCGTGGAAACAACATGGAAACAATAAATAAAAAAACAAACAAAAAAAAAACGAAACTGTTACACAACGAAAAAGAAGGCTCGAAAAGACGAAAGAAAAGTATAGAACGAAACGTGCAAAAGAAAGTGAAAATGAAACCTATAGTCTTAGAGAACGGTTAGCAACAGAAACACCTGAGCAACATGATGCCAGGGTTAATAGCACAACGTGAGAGACAAAGGCAGCTGGTAGAGTCAGAAAACACCTGAGCGTCATGAGTCCAGGCTAGCATCACAACGTGACAGACAGAGAGAGTTGTTAGCGGCAGAAACACCTGAGCGTCATGAGTCTAGGGCTGGCATCACAACGAGAGACAAAAAGAGTTGTTAGCGTCAGAAACACCTGAGCGTCATGAGTCTAGGCTAGCATCAGAACGCGACAGACAGAGAGATTGTTAGCGTCAGAAACACCTGAGCGTCAGATTGTAATAAATTATCAGGTAAAAAAACCATGTAATAATGATGCACTAAATGAATTAAAATAGAATGAGGAATATTCGGTAGGCATTTCCGTTAAATACTAAAATCTAGAAAATAAAAAATCGATAAAAAACTTTTTAAGTTAAACGGTTTTATCTTATGTGCACTGAAAACTAGAAAATAATAATAACAATTAGGTATTTTGAACTTCTAGTTCAGAAATATTTTAGTACTAACAGCAGAATAGCTTTTAGGCATATTAGACTAAAATAAAAACGTGGGGCCCATTAACTATTGCTGTAATACTTTCTTCTATACTAAGTGTGGATTGCATCGACTTACTATAATTGTAACTGGAGATTTTGACAATCAATAACCAGCCGTGGCAGCTTCACCAGCGAACGCCGAGCTCATGATCTACCAAAGTATAAAGATATGCTTTTGCCATAGGTAGGATTTCAGAGGTTTCACGTTTTTATTTTAGTCTAATATGCCTAAAAGCTATTCTGCCTAGTACTAAAATATTTCTGAACTAGAAGTTCAAAATACCTAATTGTTATTATTATTTTCTAGTTTTCAGTGCACATAAGATAAAACCGTTTAACTTAAAAGTTTTTTACCGATTTTTTATTTTTGCCTTAATGAACCGGAGAAGTATACAGGACACGCTTTTAGACGCACATCTGCCTCTGCTGGCGGACTCGGGGGCAGATCTACTAATGGTTAAGCGTCATGGAGGTTGGAGAAGTAGTTCCGTCGCAGAGGGATATACAGATACATCAAAAGAAAACAAGAAAATTGTTGCGCAGCACCTTTTGGGATCAAGAATCGCTGAGGAAGCATGCCAGCCCGAGTGCGAGCCAAATCGATCAACAGCCCAATCTATTTCAGTTAGACCTTCACTATTATCATCGTCGTCATCATCAGCAGCAGAAATTGTTTTGAAGAAGTGTAAAAAATGTGTTATTAATATTTATAATAATTAGTAGTAGGAATTTGTATCAAAAATTAATACATTTAGATGTTCGTAGTTGTTTTTCATTATTATAAAAACTAGTTGTTTTATAGATTCATAACATCACTAGTTGTGTTATGATTCTCATAACGTAACTGAAATACTAAAAAAATAGTTATGTAAAAACGTTATAACTAAACGGTTGTAGATAAAAAAAATTACTGTATTTATTACTGTAAAACTTTATTTTCTGGGCTGAATTTTAGAATTTAGAATGAGTGGGAGGGGGGCTAATTACTGCGACCTTACAGATCCATTGTGTCCCCCTTTCTTGAGTCATAACTCATCATACAGTCCCAGGGCTTTGACAAAAGTTCTCCATCTCCAATATCAGTCGTACCAAAATTCATGGCACGATTCTGGGCTGAGATCAATGTAAATGTTGTGTGTTTTACTATTACACTATGGAAATAAACTACAATAAAAATGATAATTAATTTAGACTACAAAAACAAACATTATTTATTTATTATGTTAAACCATTAACTTTTTACAAAGTCGTAAGGTATAACCTTACCCTTGTCAATAAGACAAAAACACGTCCTTACAAGACAACATCAAATAAAGTTAAGGGGAACAAGTGGCAGAAAGTCGTTCCAGATGTACTAAGGACGGCTTAAAGACTTGATGAAGGCGCCGTAATTGATCCCTTGGAGCTAATTTTAATTACACATATTAGACCCTTTTCGTTTAATGGATTTGCCGTAATACCTTTCATTAGAACATTGGGAATCTTCTTGAAGTTCGATTTTTTAGGTCTTGTAAGCGTGTCTAGTTTAATTGTAGTAAATAATTTTTGGTTTAGGGTAAGAAAATAGAATAGACATGTATAAAGGTAGAATAACCATATAATCTGATTTTTTTCAAATGTCACAAAAGTATTAATTTTTGCGACGTGATTGACAATATAAAAAGTAATTTTAAAAGTAAAGCACTTTAACGCCTAAGCTTAGGAAGGAGCATAATGCTATCCATGTATTCATGCCAAAGATTCATGCATGGTGGGCGGAAAAAGCACTCTAGGGTTTGGCACATTTGAATTTGATTTGAAATTTTGTGGATTTGTCAGTCTTTACGGAGCTTATTTTATGTTATTTGTTATTTATTCTACTACTGATAATTGTATAAAGGTAGTAAATCTAGATGGAAATTGTGGCAGAAATTAAATTAACAGTGACACTATCGCGATTTATCGAAAAAGACTCTAAAATAGTTGGTTGTGTAGCGTGCGGTAGATCTCGGCAAAAATTGAGTGAAATAATGGAACGACTTTTCGCTAGTAAGTGACTATATAATATACATACGTGTAGTAAACCGATCATTTATGAAATTCACTTAAATTAACTTCAAATTATATATTTTTTCTTGCATTTTAGCTTTTATTTATTACTTATCAAAGATTAGATGTCAAAGAATTTAGATACGTTAATTTGACTTACCTGCTTCAGTAGCGTATCGGATGTTTGTGTTAATAAATACTTATTATAACTAATCTATTTTTATTAGAATTATATATTTTTATAACAATTTTAATAACTACCAACATTTATTCACAACGTAAAATAAAACAACAAATTATTGAGTCTACCCCACGTCTATCCTACATCATAGTTATACTATTTGGAACGTTTTAAATTGTTTAAAAAATTATTTGTGGCATTAAATAAAAAATAGCATGTTCTATTCAGAGTAAAAATGATACTTTTTGTGCCCCGGATGTATGTCAACATACAGCCTCACCGCAAAAAGTGTAATTTTTACTCCTAATAAAAACAATATACTATTATTCCAAAAAAATACATAGGTATAGACATTTTTTAATATACTATTAATTTTGACGTAAAAAACAAAAGCAATGGATATACAGGGTGTCCCAGAAATAAGTGCAAATATTTTAACTGGTAGTATACTTCAACCCCAGAAACACGCCTCTGAGGGTTTTTTCGCGGAAAAAAAAATTTGAAAATTTGAAAATTTTTTTGGAATTTTTTTTAGTTTTTAGTTAAAAAACGTAATTTCTTGATAATATGGCAACATAGGTATTAGATTAAATTTACAAGAAAGACAATCCAAAAAAGATCTAGTGGCTCTCAAAATTTTAGCAAAAAATCATTTTTTTTTTGGAAATTTTCGAAGTAAAATAACTTCGTTATTTTTGACTTATTTGAAAAACGATAAAGAGAAAATATGTTTCTTTTATCGAGATCTACCACCCCTTAAAATATTTGCACTTATTTCTGGGACACCCTGTATAAGCGACATATTTTAATGCTAAAAAAGTGTCGATCGCTAAATTAAAATATATTTACATATTTATTTATGTTAAAGATACTTGTAAATTTATTTAAATAATATAATTGAGTTATAATAATAACATTACTATAGGCCTGCGGTTTTTGTATGTAGTTTCGTACAGTTTCCATTAATAGTAGTATTTTCGTTTTTTTACTAAAATTAAAACACATTAAATCCATTATTTTCCGAAAATTTTCATAAAATTAAGAGATATACTTTTCGGAAAAACATGGATATACGTAGTGTTTGGTTGAATTTTATTATTGATGTTGTTCAATATTGTTTTCATCCATACCAGACCAAAAAACCAAATGTACGCCGCAGTATCAACAATAATGTCGATGAGGTAAATAACATTTTTCATTTTGCTCATTAGTACTAACACTCGATTCACCACTCGATCACGTGATAGAATTTCAGTTCACATACGAGTTTATCACTTATCACAATTTGTAATATTCTGCATTTTATTTTATTTTACGCATATCTCTCTCACAATCACTATTACACAGCAAAATATACAGGGTCGTCCGAACTGTATTCCGGCAGCATATTCTACAGATAAAAATAGGTAAAAAAGTTCGTATAAATGTATGTTCTAAAATGCTTAGTTTCAGAGATACAGGGTGTACAAGTTTCATTTTTGTTTCGACTTTTTCCAAATAACTTATGAAGTAACATCAATATTTGGATGAAAATTGGTGTTTGGGAGTTTTCTGACATGAGAAATTTGATTTTGATGTCAATATGACTTCTACTTGTAGAGGACGCCACCTATATATTTATTAACTGGTTTGAAAAGTGAGAACTTTTCGTCCGTACCTGTATAAAACTACTGAGTACCTGTATAAAACTACTGAAAAAATCGCTACGAGTAATGGTTCTCGAGATATTTGGAATCAAAATTATCAATACCTGTCATCATTGACATAAATTAAACATGTTGAATAAATAGTTATTAGACTGAAATCATAAATTTGAAATGTTATTGTGCCAAAAGTTTAACAGAACTGTTTTATTATCATTTTTTCGAAGATTTTTTATCATCTACTCAACGTGTTTGTTTTTTTTGTCAATAATGACATGTATTGACTATTTCCATTCTAAATATTTTCAGAACGGTTATTTGTAGTGATTTTTACCAAGAGACATTTTTTACGTAGAAAGTCACGGAAATATATATTTCTTCACTCAGTAGTTTTATACAGGTACGGACGAGAGAAAAGTTATTATTCTTCAAAACAGTTAAAACACATGTAGGTGTTTATATATAATACCCCTACAAATAGGAGTCATATTGACATCAAAATAAAATTTCTCATGTTAAAAAACTCCCAGACACCAATTTTCACCCTAATATTGATGTTATTTCAGAAATTATTTGGAACAAATCGAAATAAAAATGAAACTTCTACACCCTGTATCTCCGAAACTAAGCATTTTAGGACATACATTTATACGAACTTTTTTACTTATTTTTATCTGCATAATATGTGCTGCCGAAGTTTCCGGAATACAGTTTGGACCACCCTGTATTTTATATTTTCATATTTGCATTTTTGTTTATTATGCATTCATTAAAATTGCTCTATATAAATTTATATACATAATTTACAGATTTTTCAACGTCAACAACAGAACAAAGTTTGAATAATTTATTAATGTATTAATATTATTTTTAATATTTTATATTAATGTCTATAGTGTTATTTTACATCACATTTAACAGGCTATTACTATTTTATTTTTGACGAAAGAATGTTTATTAAAAAGACTTTAGAATAAACACCCTATACCCTTTAATTTTAAATATTATTTTGCCGGTCAAAAATCCTTACATCCTTGCATGACTTTGAGGACAGTAAGCGCCATCGCCATTGAGAAATAAAGAAAAGTACAGGCCAAGTAAATACTGTCTAGGACTTAATCTTAGAGGTGTGTAGTTTGTGAACGAACTAGTTCCAATGAACTATTCCGAATTCCGACCCTCAAATGAAAGGAACTAGTTCCCGGTTTTTCAAAGAACAAGTTCCAAAATAATATGCGACAGCGACGGATAAAGGCTGATTCATGGTACACCGGGCCGTACCCGAGCCGGGCACGTTTCGTAAAGTAGACACCGAGCCACGTCCGGGCCTTCAATATATGCTACACCGAGTGGACAACGGGATCATGTCCGTGCCAATTATATTCTAGAAAACAGTGTTGCCGCAGTGGTACATTTGTACCAAATTTGATACTTTTAATTCTATTTGGTACAGTGGTACTACATTTTCAAATCCAGGATGATTTAGTACAATAATTATTTCCCACGCGCACCGAAAATGAATAGATATTTAATAATTATTGTCGTTACTACATTTTCAAATCCAGGATGATTTGGTACAATAATTATTTCCCACGCGCACCGAAATTGAATAGATATTTAATAATTATTGTCGTTGATATTGCATTAAACGCGCTTACCGATACCATTCGGAGAAAATCCGCATTAATTAACGACGTATTATAAACGTTGTAATGTCTATAGCGTTGCCTATATTAAATAACCCGAAGAAAAAACTTGAAAATTTACTGTTTCTAACATGCTTCTATATTTGCGTTTTTTTTAAATAAAATTTAAGTTTTCCAAGTATTGTGTGTAGTATTAGAATTACTTAGAATTCTTCAACCTATACATACTTATAATTGGGTTTTCTGAATTTCTATTTCATGTTTTTCGTCTCGATTTGTGTCTTTCTCCAGGAAGTTTTTTTATGTAGAAATTTATGAAGAAATTCACAGCGACCAAACCGGTTAAAGTCATATGCAGATGTATTTTGTTGTGCTTTAAAAAATTGTACCAAAGTGGTACATTTTTAGTTTATAATGTGGTACGCGCTAAAAGTTGGGTGCGGCAACACTGCTAGAAAACAGTCGCTATAGGCCCGTAGACGAACGAAGTATTTAGCCCGGGCGACTCATTTATGTTTGCCGCAACGGGGCCGGACCGTAGCGGATCCGAGGAAAAATGTACACCGATATTTCTCGGACGGGGCACGGACGCGTTACGGCGAAGCTCGGCCCGTGCTCGGCTTAGCATGAATGCATAAGTATAAATAACATTTGACAATGTTTGGCCGTCCCTTCACCGTCGCACGGCCCCGGCCCGTCACGGTCTACCATGAATCAGCCTTAAGCCAGCGCGATGGTAGCCCGGTGCTAGGCAGGAGTGGGGAGTGCCAGCCGTGTGTTATCGGATACGGACCTAGAGGAACTAGATAAAAGATTAGTTTGTTTACGTACGGATCGGCCAGCGCAATTGTAGCCCGATGCTAGACGGGAGCGGAGAGTGCCCACCGTATGTTACCTGTCCCGGACCGAAAGGACTGAGAGGAACTAATTAGAAAACTATTTCATGGGAATCTATTCAGTCGGCAAAACCGAAATATAAAACAAGGCGACGACGATGGATTCGGCCTTGTCTATTGCCACAGCCGGTGTAATTACCACAGAAAATTGTCGTGGATACTGTTTTTTATTTCGTTCTTTGAATATTTTATGGGAATATTTCACTTTAGGTCCCTAAAATTAAGAAATATCTTATAAAACGCGAAGTAGATATTCTGAATTTTTAGATAAAAACAAGAAGCTTGAAGTGCATTTTTTTGTAAAATTTTCGTATTATTTGCTCCAATTGATTTGTGATATAGTTTTTTAAACTGTAATTTGAGTTTATTTTTTTTATCCGCAACGAAACTTACCCTATATGTTTTTGATATACGCAATTACACGTCTCATTATATTTCGTATATTATAAAAATTATACAGATTATACTGTGAATAGTTCTGACTGACAACGAAACCCATTAGCAAGCAACGGGGATGTCAAGGTTAGTCGGGATCTAATTTGAACTAAAGACCTAGTTCAAGGAAGAAGTTAACTAAAGACCTAGTTCAAATTCGTCTGGAAGAACTAGAACTAAGGAACTAGAATTCCCACTTCTACTTAACCTCGCCAAAATTATCGTCGATTGTCATTCCGCAGCCGTCTTTGACGCCGTTTTTTTTTTCGATCGCATGGTATTTTCGAACAAATATTAAATATTGATGTAAAAATAAATGTTCGAACATGATTTGTACAACACGACTTTTTATTTATTTTCTGCATTAAATGCGTCCCGTGCAATTACGTCATAATTCATCCGCATAAATCGTGCATTAAAAAGCTTGGCGCTTGAAATACGATTTGATTCGCGAATAACTACGTAAATCGATGCAGATTTAAGCCCTCATTTTTCAACGGGTCCCCATTAAAAATTGATTTAGGTACAAATCAGAATCGACGACCTTAAAACTGATTCGTTCTATGACGTAAATGTAACTAATTGGATGTACTGGAAAAGCTACATGTAAAATATATTTCTCGAACATGTTTAGTGATTGTTTCCCAATAACAAGAGGCCGTCCTCTGCTAGAAACACTGCGACTTGTAAAACCTATTGTGTTTGTCCCCTTTCTATATCTACACTTACAACCCATTCTCCTATCCCTGTGCCCTGCACTAACTTATGCAGATCCTTGATGGGATGGGAGCATAATTCGTCCGGTTCTAGCCTAGCTTTCCCAAATAAAAAGTGTCGCTTGCAATCCAGAGTCTGAGCAAAGATGATCATTGCCTAGCTAGCTCATCGGCTATTTCCAATGTGAATTTTCCAAAATTATTTTGTCCTATTTTGTCATCATTTTGATCATTTGATAGATGTTGACCCTACCATAACATAGATGTTGAAAAAAGCATTCAAACTACAAAAAGAAACAATAAAAGCAAAAAAAAACAATAAAATAAATAATTGCATTTCTTTTGGTTGTGGTTTTCAAGAAAGTAAGTACAATTAAAAGTTCTTTCAGAGACCTCCTGTACAGCAGTATTTTAAATGTTTTATATACAGGGTGGTTCGAACTGTATTCTGGAAACTTCGTCAGAATATTCTGCAGATAAAAATAAGTAAAAGAGTTCGTATAAATGTATGTCCGAAAATGCATAGTTTCGGAGATACAGGGTGTAGAAGTTTCATTTTTATTTCGATTTTTTACAAATAATTTCTGGAGTAACGTCAATATTTGGATGAAAATTGGTGTCTGGGAGTTTTTTGACAAGAAAAATTTGATTTTGATGTCAATATTACACCTATTTATAGGGGGCGCCACCTATATGTGTTTTAAATGTTTTGAAGAGTAATAACTTTTCATCAGTACCTGTATAAAACAACTGAGTGAAAAAATATACATTTCCGTGATTTTTATGTAAAAAATGTCCCTTGGTAAAAATTGCTACGAGCAACCGTCCTCAAGATTTTTAGAATG